TTTGTCTGGAACGGTATAGGGTTTCCTGCCTAGGCAGGGGGTTGGACTAGAAGACCTCCAAGGTCCCTTCCAACTCTGCTATTGTATTGTATTGATTTATAAAAATTTAAATATAGTTAAGATGTAAATCATTGGAAACATCTTGCTCATATTCTTCTGAAATGAATATGCCCCATTTCTATAGACAAGGGAAGCTTTACAAAAACTCAGATTTTTGCCTCTTATCATTTGATGATACATGGGTTTTCCTAAAAAGAATTATATTAATAATGTTGTCTTCCCTTTTTAGCATTCACTTGCCCAAATATGCCCAATACATATATTGCAATTATTAATTAGTAGTATCTTTTCAAGATTACTTCAGTCAGTAATTGGGGTAGGGTGACATTTTAAGTTGCATTTATGGAAAGAAAATGAGTGATTTTTTTTTAATGGCACTCAGAAAGGCAAAATGCAGTTTTCTTCTTTCCACTTGTCTCCTGGCTAGGGATTTGAATGCTTTTGAGATTTATATGGATGAAAACCATAGATAGCATAGGCACCCAGGAATAGTCAGATGTTTAAATTCTTCTAACTTTACATATGGGAACTATCCTAATTCAAGATATAAAATAGAATATTAATTGTATATTAACAATATTGGCAAAACTTTTTTCATATAACATGAAATCAACCTTCTATAGTATTACATTTTTTCTCCCAATATGCTGACTATGATGATATTATGGTCTGATTTCAAAGATTAGATAAGCCTACAATTGTGAGATGCAGCTATAGTAGCTGAGTTTATCCACTGAGTTGAATTCTGGTTCTAAATTAAGAATAATAATCATACTTCTTAATTATTATTAATCTTAGAATCTCAACTCATGATGCAAAGAAGCATTATGCTTAGAATTTAAAACATTTTATTTTACTGAATCTAATTCTGACTACAAAAATCACAATTTGGAAGGGCACTGGGAACAACACCAGAGACTAAAATGCCAGTTGCTCATACACTGTCCCCACTAGTGTTGATTGACAACTTCCCCTCCCCCTGGAAAGAGGCAATTGATCACAAGCTGGGCTCTTATGGGCTCTCACTGGTATTCNTCAGGGGGAGCTACTAAATAAACTTAGAACAGTTTTCCTCCGTTTCCGGAAGGCAGGTCTGAAATTGAAAAAAAATAAGTGTCAAATTGGTGTGCGGGCGGTAGATTTCCTCGGGTTTCATATTGATGCCCAGTTTGGCAGCTCACGTATAGAAGGCTGTCAGTTAAGTTTGTTACTTAGTTCGTTGTCAGCTACGTTAATAAAAGATTAGCGTTACATTGTCTCCAGCAGTTTCTTGAGGA